AATGACTCGTGATATGGAACCTCTTTTCGTGTACTTGTTTTCCATCTGTATGTTAAGCTATTTTTCATTTACAATGTTGTAAATCATATTTAAATTGTCTCTATCTGCTAGTGTATATGTTAATGTGTATAGTACATTTTCATCAGTCTGCCAGTGCATCATTATTCCATTTAATTCCCTCTGACCATTGAAATATAGGTTCTTTTATGATTGTGTAAAAAAGGCATATTTTTTCCTGCTGATTCACCAAGAGTGACAACCATGAACAAATATATATCAAAACCATAGTTATCAGATAATTAGCTAATCCCCTTAACTAATCCAATTTTTGAAAAGCTTACCCAAGCCAGAAGAGCACATAGAAGATTTATTAAGTGAACAGGAATTACACAGTCAGCAAAACAGAGACTATTTAGTTTAAAATCTTCTTCAGCAATCCACTGACATTGTGAATTACACGCAGATCTCTTAGGTACAGCTCTGATGTCAATTGACCATTTTAAGCTTACTTGGAAGTAGCAACTTTAAAGTTTCAGTTTTACATACAGCCAGTGAAACATTTTTTCCTTTGTTGTCATATTTTGAAAGAAACTCACACAATTATATATTTAATGAGAAAAATTTTTTTCTTTATAAACAACTAACAGATACATCAAATACTAAAGAGGTCTAATGTCTGACAACACAGCAAATTTATGATTAGTTTTTCCATCCTTGCTCTAATTTTCATATCAAAATTTCCATTCTAAATCCTGGACCTGTTTGACATATAATTTAGACATTTTAAGTCAGAATTTAATGTTGACAGATAACTTTCTAAGGATAACTCTTATCTTAGATTTGTTTGCATGTTTCTGATTTTATATTCCTCCCTCAACAGCAGTGCAGTCCTAATATGCTGTGTAGTTTAATAATCCTAGAATTGCATTTATAGGCCTAATGTGCCTTTTAAATGTGGTAGACCATAAGAGATAGGAACCAGGGCTCTTAGATTCAAATCCTGTCTCCATCACTTACTAGCAGAGGGAATTAGAGCAAGTTATTTTGGCTTTCCCATTTCCATTTTCCATTTTAAAATCTTCTCATCTGTAAAATAGAAAATCAATGGTGCATAGCTCCTCCAGTTTGGAGAAATGTAAACTGAGATGAATTATATACAAATTTCAAAGCAGTGTCTAAAATATTGTAAAATACTCAATAAATGTTAGTTATTATTGTTATCATTTAAATACATAGGTATGTATATAAAAACTATCATATATAATGTATATACATATATGTATATATATATATATATATATATATATACACATATACACACACATATTTATATACCACCAATTAATAATTAGAACTTGAATTTAAATTAAGGCATATTACCATTTACTTTAGTATCCCCTAAATGAAATGTTTAGATATAAATTTAACAAAATAAATATATGATCTATGTGAGAAACTCTTCCCAAATCTAATGAGAACAATCCAAAAATAAATTGAGGGATATACCAAGTTCATTGATAAGATGAAACAATATTGTCAAAATATCAGTTCTTCTTAAAATTATCTACAGATTCGGGGAAATCTCAAATAAAATCCTAGAAAGTTATTTTGTTGATATTGACAAACTGATTCAGATATGTATATGCAGTAATAAAAAGCCTAGAATAGAAAACACAGTATTGAAAGAAAGGAACAAAATGGAGAACAATATCCGCTGTCTTCAAAACTTATTGTAAAGCACTACAATAAAGGCAGAGTAGTATTGATAAATGAATAGAAAAAGAGGCCAGGAGATCAAAATAAAGAAAGACCTCAGAAATAGAGTTACACAAATATAATCAACCAATCTTTGATAAAAGCACATCAGTTTGAGAAATAGTAGTAGAAGAACTAACCTTCTACATTCAATGAAAGAAAAAACAATCTAGAGATTGACCTTACATCCTTCACTAAAGTAAGCTCATAATGGATCATAGATCTAATTATAAAATGCAAAGACTGTAAAATTCCTACAAGATAACAGGAAAACCAAATTATGTTGGGGTTCATAACTTTTAGATACAACATCTAACATGAAATGGAAATGTAATCACTTGGATTCATTAAAATTAAAAAAAAATTTATTCTGGTGAATTACTAACAAGAGATTTAAAATAAAAATCAGTCACAAATTAAATAAAAATACTTGCAAAACATGATATAAGATGTTTATCAAAATATACCAAGAGCTCTTAAAACCCAATGATAAGAAAACAATGTGATTAAACAATGGGCAAAATATCTGAATATAAATCTAACTAAAGAAGAGATGCTAACTGGCAAATAAGCAAACACAAAGATGCTCAGAATCATAGATCATTCAAAAATTGCAAAACAAAACACCAGAAAAATATTATTACATACCTATTATAATGGCCAAATTCCCAAACACTGACAATATCAAATGCTGATAAAGAAAGAGGGTAAAGCCACAGAGACTCTCATTCAGTGTTCATGAAAATGTAAGGTATCATATTCATTCTGGAAGACAGCTTGACAGTTTGTTATAAAACTAAACATACTCTTACCATTAGATCCAGAATTTTCTTTCTTGGTATTCAGTCAATAAATCAGTAACTGATGTCCCCACAAACACTTGCACATACATGTTTATAGAAGCTTCCTGTAAAATTACAAAGACTTGAAAGCAACCAAGATGCCCTTCATAGGTTATAAATAAATAAACTGTTGTACATCCAGAAAATAAAATAGTATTCATTTCTAAACATAAGCTATCAAGTCATGAAATAATATGGAAATCTTTATTTTTAAGTGAGAAAAAGCTAATAAGAAAAGGTAGCATTTTTCATGATTTCAACTATAGGACATTCCTAAAAGGTAAAATTTTAGATATATTAAAATATTCGTTACCAGGTAAGGGGTGGAGTGGTAAAGCAGTGGAGCAGAGAGAATTTTTAGGACAGTGGAAATATGCTGCTTAATACTGGGAAAATGCATACCTGTACTAATACTCATAGAAAGTACAACACCAAGAGTAAACTCTATTGCAAATCATAGACTTGGGGTGATTATGCTGTTACTAATTATAACAAATGGTGGACTGGTATGGGATATTGATAATCATGGAGGTTATACATTTTTATGTAAATTTATGGGAACTCTGTATTTTTCATCTAATTTTGCTTTGAAGCTAACACTAAAAAGTAGAGACTATGCACTAGTTCAATGGGGAGAGAGAGAAATAACACTTTAAAATTTATTGATGGATATTAATTATACACAATTAGAGAAGAATAAGCTTCATTGGGACATGCATATAACAAAATTTGGTCATTTAAAAAAATCATATAAGTATATATGATTTGTATACAGATAATCACAGAAATTTACACTATTCTTGGCTAAACCTTGATACATGAAATTAGGATTGTTTTAAAAGCTTGTATTTATGCAAAACTTTTATTTTTTAAACTTATACATTACAATAGTATATATTTTGACATATCATACATACATAGAGTAAAACTTCCCATTCCTGTGGTTGTACATCATGTGAAGTTACATTAGTTGTGTATTCATATATGAACATAGGAAAGTTATGTCAGATTCATTCTATTATCTTTCAAATTCCCATTCTCCTTTCTATCTCTCATAAGCTCCTGTCCAATCTGGTGAATCTCCATGTCCTCCCCCTCCCCCCCCCGCCCTCAACCTTTTCTATTGTGAGTCAGCATCCACATATCAGAGAATACATTAGGTATTTGGTTTTTTGGAATTTCCTTCTCTCATATGATAGTTTCTAGTTCCATCCATTTACTAGCAAATGCCATAATTTCACTCTTCTTTATTATTAAGTAATATTCCATTGTCTATATTTACCATGTTTTCTTTATCCATTCATCTGTTGAAGGGAACCTAGCTGGTATAAACATTGATTTGGCCATGTCATTACAGTATATTAACTTTTAAAAATTCTTTTAAAAAATATTTTCTTTTTTTAGTTGAATACAATATCTTTATTTATTTATTTTTATGTGGTGCTGAGGATCGAACCCAGGGCCTCGAATGTGCTAGGCGAGTGCTCTACTGCTGAGCCACAACCCCAACCCCCAGTATACTAATTTTAAGTCCTCTGGGTATATACTGAGGAGTAAGATAACTGGGTCAATTCGTGGTTCCATTCCTAGTTTTCTGAGGAATCTCCACACTGTTTTCTATAGTGATTGTATGAATTCGCAGACTGCCCCCCCACAGCAATGTATGAATGTACCTTTTTACCCACATCCTCACTAACATTTATTGCTACTTGTATTCTTGATGATTGCCACTTTGACTAAAGTGAGATGAAATCTCAATGTGTACTTTTAATTTGCATTTCTCTAATGGTTAGTGATATTGAATATTTTTCATTTATTTGTTGATCACTTGTATTTCTTCTTCTGTGAAGTGCCTGTTCAGTTGCTTTGCCCATTTATTGATTGGGTTATTTGTTTTTTTGGAGTTCAGTTTTTTGAGTTATTTATATATCCTGGAGATTAATGCTCTATCTGAGGTGCACATGGCAAAGATTTTCTCCTATTAATCACATTCTTGATTCTTTCCTTTCTATGAAGAGGATTTTTACTTTGATACCATCCCATTTATTGATTTCTTGAAATCAGGATGTTGATTCTTATATCTTTTTTTCTTATAAAACTCACTTTCTTCTATACCTGAGAGACACCAGTTTTGGTTAGGGTCTTCCAATGAACAGGTCTCTTTGATATTTTTAAATCAGAATCATTCATCATTTTACATGTTCTATATCACATGCTAGTATTGTTACTGCATATAAGGAATGAAGGTAGATATTCATACTTCACTCCCAATTGAAAAGAAAAACAAGTCAGTCTTCAATGATTAAGAGAGACACCAGTTGTAAGACATGTGTAAAAGGCCTGTATCAAATTAAATTTTTATTTTATGCCTATGTTGCTAAGAGACTAAGGGTTTTTAACCACAAACAGGTGCCAGATTTGGTCAAATGATTTTTCTGGATTAAGATAATCATGTAGGTTTTTCTTATTTAGAATTTAATTTCATAAATTAATTGATTGATTTTTGAATGATAACCTAGTCTTGTATTCTTGGCATAAACACTTGGTCATGATATATTTGTCTATTTATGTGTCACTAGATTTTATTAATACATATTTCATTGAGGACTTTTGTATACATGTTAATGAAGAATATTGGTCTATAGTTTACATTATCTAGCAATGTCTTTGGTTTTGATACCAGGATAACTATGGTCTTATAAAATGAATTGAGACTATGGTGCTCTTTCCTACTTTTTGAGAAAACTGTGTTTAAAGTATATGATTATATGATTTTTTTTTTTTTTTTTGTAATCAGGGATTTAACTCAGGGGCAGTCAACCACTGAGCCACATCCCCAGCCCTATTGTGTATTTGAATTTAGATACACGATCTCACTGAGTTGCTTATCACCTTGCCCATTGTAGTGGTTGGCTTTGAACTCATGATTCTCTTCTTTAAGCCTCCTGAGCTACTGGGATTACAGGCATGCACCAACATATCCAGCTGATTACATCTTTTTTAATTTTAATTTTTAACACCATGATTTGGTTAAATCAACATAAAATGAACTACATTATTTTCAAAGTATATAGATTTACAAATCCATACAAATCAAAATAATAAACTTATCCATAGACAATCTCTCTCTGTATCTCCATTCCCTAAGGCACTGACCACACATGTATAACTTTTTTTTTTATTTCAGCATTATTTACTTTCCTTTATGTTGTTGTACATTTTAGTTGTTCACTCTATTTTTTTTTTATTGTTGAGTAGTATTTCATTGCACAGTCTTCCCAAAACTTGTGTATCCATTTGCCTATGGATGAAAAATATGGTCATTTAAATTTGGATGTATTATGTATATACCTTCTATGAACATTCACATAAATGATTTGTATAAATATATGCTTTCACTTGTCAGAAGTAAACACATAGTAGAATAGATGTGTCACGTAGTAGGTACAGGATTTGTTTGAATTCTGTAGAAATTGCCCCATAGTTTTTCAAGAATATTGTACTGTTGTATATTTCCACAGTACTGTATGACTGTTCCAGTAATTTCACCAACTCCTGGTTTAATCAGACATTTTGAAGACTAATGGTCAGGAATTTTGTAGATTGTCTTTCAATTTGCCAGATAATCTATTGAATTTAGGACATTTTAATAAATGTGTAGTGGTATCTCATTAATCTACATTTCCCTAATGGCTAATAAGGCTGAGCTTATTTCTATGTGCTTGTTCAAACATTCTGCTCAATTTTTAAAATGATCTATTAGTGTATTATAGTTATACATAATGGTGGGGTTTGTTTTGACATATTCATACCTGCTTGGCATATAATTTACTCCATTTTAGTCCCCAGTACTTCCTCTTTCCTTCCCATTCTCCCTTCTTCTGCTCCCCTCCTTTAACCTACTGGTCTTCCTTCTATTTATTGCTTTTCTTTAATTGGTGTTTTTATAGATTTACATAAAGGTTTGATTCCCTGTGATATATTCACATATATTTATGGCACAATTAGGTTTCTTTTTATTTGTTAGTGATTGTTTTAACTTTTCATAGTATTTAAATTAAATATTTTACCAATATATGTTCTTAATATTCCACTTCAGGTTTTAGTTGTCATATATATTATACATATTATAACACAATTTTAAGATATTCCCATGCATATTTTAAATTACTTCAGTGGAGAAAATAATATATTTTATTTCTCTGATATTTAGTCCTATTTTTCTATGGTAACTTCTTTTTTTATATCTAAAGTGTTAATTTTTATCTCCTAGAGGATGTTAATAGAAACTATTTGACATTTAAAAAAAATAATTTTATCAAGGGTCATCTTTGTGTTGGCAACTATTGACTTCCGGTTCTCTTTTTATTTGGTCAGATGAATATGCCAAGTAATTTCGGGTTGTATACTGTATAATTTGAATATTTTGTTTTGAAACACTGGTTCTGTAAAAATTCTCTATGAATGTTATTTTTTTTTCCCTTTTTTCAACAAGCAATCAATCTAATGAATTTCCTGCTATAAATTCTATCCTGTCTACTGTGGGGGGATATATTACAATGTCAGCTTAGTTTTGTATCCTGTGTTATGATCATTGCTTCTCTCCAATGTGCACTTCAGGATCCTTCTTGAATTTTGGCAGTGGTTTATACTATAATTCAATTATTAAAGCCATTAATAAGATCTTTGGATATATATTGTGCATTCATATCTTGGAAAGGTTGTTAACTCATACACATATATATTAGATTGATTTTTTTCTGTACTTCCTCTCTATTCCCATAGACTTTTTTTCCAGGTACTTTTGGCTTCTTTGGTGATTGTATCTTCACATTCAATTGTGTAATGACTGGTACTTAGGCAAGTGCAGTCAAAGAAAAGAAAAGGAGACAATACAAGCTTTGTCTTCATACAATTGGTACTTCTTTTCTTTTTAATTTTAATATTCTTCTCCCTATTTACTGAGATAGGGTTATTTAGAATTTAGGTTTCCTCCTTTCCATGGTAGCAAGGATTTTCAATTTTTATGTAATTGGGGCAAGACTATGAGAAGAAAAGACAACCCTGAAACAATGAGGACTCTTTACTCTTCAGCTTACAGATGCTCATTTCCCTGTGTTCTGGCCAGGAAAAAATAAAAAAAGAAAACATTCTTAGAGATTGTAATGTTTTATATATATATATATATATATATATATATATATATATATATATATTTCCTCAATTCTATATATTCTTGATTCTAGTCTTAGGGAAAAATGCTAGGGGAAAAATATCTCAACATCAGTGTATGAGTAGTTCAAGTTTTGACTTTGTTCACTCATTACTCTCGTTGGTATTTACAGAGTCCTTTTGGAGTTCATTTTTGAAATCTTTTAACAAATTTTAATTGAAATCATTGCAACAAATACTTGAAGTAGAATTATTTCATCTTGGCTAGTATTGAGTAGCTTTTTTTATTAACTTACTTTTACTATTTTGTTTAGTTGATTGGGTATTACTGATATACAAATAACTATATATATATATATATATATGTATATATATATATATATATATAATGTATACAACTCAATGAGTTTGGATTTATGCGTATAGCCACAATCAATACAACAAATACATCTATTACCCACAGAAGTTTCCTGTGTGTTTTTTGCTTTCTGTATGTATGTGGTAAGAAAACTGAACATAATATCTACCCTCCTAAAATTTTAAATGTACAATACTGTATTGTTAACTATAGGAACTAGGTGTACAGAAGATCTCCAGAAATTATTCATCATATATTACTGCAACTGTGTAATGTTGAACAATTTCCCCTTTTCTCTTTTGAACAACTACCATTCTATTTTCTATTCTTTTAATTGTTGCTATCTTAGATGCTTTTAAATAAGTGGAATTATGTACAATTTTTTTCTTCATCAACAAACTTATTTTACTTAGCATAATGTCTTCTTTCTTTTTTAAGATCAAATAATATTATATGCATATAATATTTTATTTATATAAATATGTAAATTGGTAATGAAAATAAATTTATCCATTTAGCCATTGGTTATTTCTATATTTTGATTATTGTACACAATGTTACAATAAGCAAATAAACATGGAAACCCAGATATTGCTTTGAGATCCTGATTTCAATTCTTTTGGAAATAACTCAGATGTTGAATTCAGTTTTTTTTTTTTTCATTTTTGTGACATTGGGCATAAAACTTATGCATGGGCCTCATGCATGCCAGATAAGGTGGCTAACACTGAACTATACCTCCATCCCTGTTGGTTTCATTTTTTTAATTTTTGAAGAATCTTCTCCTTTCTGTGTTCTTTAGAAGCTGTACATTTTATATTCCCACCAATATTATGCAAGAGTTTAATATAATTTAAGAAAAAATATGATAAAATTTTAAGCAATGTGCTAGCTCTGAAAATAGAGTATACATTAGACCCGGGTGCACAATTTCGTTTAGATAATTCAAGTTTAACTATTGAGAATTACATATCTTCTCTATAAAGCCAATGCATTAATTATTTTAACAGTGATGTAAAGTTTTAATGGCATTCATAAATATTCTACATATATAAAATAATATAAATTGCAAAAAATAGCTAATATAATAGTAAGAATAAGCTATAAATGTTTTAGTATTGAAATTTTTTCTTTTCCATCTCAAAAAGTATGTTTACGAGATTGAATTTAGTAAATCAACAAAGAGATACATAAGTTTAATATTTAACATCATATGAATAACTGCAAATAAAAACAAATGGAAATGTATATATTTTTCTTCATCACCTCCAGGTAGTATGAAAAAAGTTTGAAGAGAGGAAAAACTACATCTTTATTATTTTATATTATTTTGTACTTATTTAAATTGTGTTGCTGTGCTCATGTATTCCTTTCATTATTGTGAACAATATATATACACACACACATATATATGTATGTTTCCAAATATAAAGTAGCAATAAAGGTAAACAGCTGTGAAGCAGAGGGATAAATGTGTTTTCATTTTTGTTGTTTTTCCTGGGGACTTTAAGAGAAAGTTTCACAAAACAGCATGCAATAAAAAGAAGTCCTTTTTTTTTTTTAATCACAACCAATCTGAATAATTAAACAAACTTTTTTCAAGTTTTATGTAAGCTTTGTGGGAAATGACTCCTATGAGACTTTTGTGAGAAAGTTTAAACATGTTTTACTTTCAGATAAATTAATTCATTTAACATTATTTAAACACCTATTAAAGCTAATCATTATACCAACTAATCATATTGACATGATGAAAGAAGTCACAGTCTTTGGACTTGATAAGTTTTCAAATAATATGGTGAGAGAGACAGCTGCAAAACTCTCAAAAATGTGAAGTTCTGTACCAGAAAAACAAACAAATAAAAAATAAAAATATATGCTATATTTTGACAAGAGGAGCTGAGGTACATTGAAAAGAAAAACCCTGAATGATAAGTAGGACCTCAAAATGGGAAAGACAAGTCTTTCTAAGGGGTGGGAAACTAAGATGAACTTTTGGTTGTAATGCATGAATAGGCAGAGATGAACGAACGCATAGTAAGCAGAGATTGGTTGATTCATAAAGAAAAAGTAATCAAGCTGGAGGCTTGGTTTTATCCTACCAGCAATAAGTATTTATTAAAGCATTTAACTATAGGATTAATAAATTCCAAATATCATGTCAGAATAATTATATGGAAAACCATATTACATATGGATTTTGTAGAAAGCGACCTGAGGCAAAGATGCAAATTATTAAGTTATTGTATTATTTAGTTTCTGCAATTTGATGTTGATTACAAAGATTAAAAGAGTCCATTGAATCTTAAAAGGCTAAGAAGTTAAATCAGAAATTTTATTTGTTTAGTTTCCTGCAATATTTTGTTTGGTTGTTTTCATCTTTTTCATCTGTCATAAAGAAGAAAATAACATTGTCCAGTAAAGAATCATGACATATATTTTCAAAAGTAAGACTTACATCTCACAGAAGCTATTGGATTTGTCATTTGTGCCCAGTGTGTACTTCGGTTAGCATGATAGACACTTAATCTCCACCAGCATCTGGAAAATTATTTTAGCAATAATTTAATTTCCAATCTCATATCTAAGATTCTGTCGTTCTTTTTTTCAAACACTATATCTAGACATTGCAAAACATTCCTCTACTTTGATATAATGCTCCTCTACTACAGTATAAATGTCATATTAATAAAAATTGCTTTCTTATGTCAATTTTGTCAAATTCATAGATATTTTAATGATTTACTTATTTGGGGCAGCAAAAGGCGTTGCCTTTTTATTTGTTCGTTTCCTGCCTCAGATGTATTTGTACAAACAGCATAGGAGAACACCAGCCTCAGGCAGAAAGCAGCACAGGAGACAGGTCAAATCTTCTGTCCTCACTTTGACAGAGACATAAGAAGTGCTTTCATGGGAGCCCAGGGACCTTTGAAAACCTGAGCTTGACCCAGGACTGAAGCTGGAGCTGGAACTGCAGTCAAGGCCTGGGCTTTAGTTTGAGCAGTGACCTTGGACTTTAAAGCTGGAGATTCTTAGCAATGCAGTCAGGCGCTCCTGTGCTGAACTTAGGGTGAGTAATGTAGGCAAGTAGATCAGGTTTATGGCTAACACGGTTTGGGTTCCCGGGCTTCACTTCCTTGAATTTCACCACAGCGTTGATAACTTGGACATATGAACTCATAGTCTTAGTGTCTCTGGTCTGCCTCTTGAAGCCCTACTTTTTGTGCTTTTTGGTAAAGTACATGTTCCTCAGGAAGTTGCGGTCTACTCCCATAGGTGATATCTTTGTGATGAGGATCTTTGATAACTGTTTCTCTTATATATTTGGGATTGGTGGTGTGCGGTGTGGTTCTTGGATTTAGCCATGTCTACACAAAAACTTGTGCCTCCCAGAGTACCTGTGTCTCAAAGAGGAAAAGTGACACTTGTATTTTAAATTGTGTATAATTGCCTTAATAACCAAAATGTTATATTTTTTTTAGAAAAAATATCTTAGCATAGTTCTTTATTATTTGTGTTTAATTGAGATCTCTTTCCAGCAGACAATAGGAAATTGCCACTCATGATATCATTTGATTCATTATCATTTCGAATGAAGTAATCATTAACTTTTTAAAAATGTACTCTTTATTGAAATACAAAAATTTCCCCACCCTACATGTATTTGTTACTCCCAAATTTCTGAATACATGAGAACTTGAGATGCAAAATAAAACCCACATAGAAAATTTGACTCTTTGTTTACTATATTAATTTTCTATACTGAAATTCCCCCAAATTAGAAAAGACACTAAGTATGAATCCCCAAATCTTACTTAAAAGCTATCGGAGTTTCTGTAGTCATCATGAATCACTCTAATAGGGTAACATTCTATCAGTTATGACATCAACACATTTGAGTTCACTTGGTATTTCCCAAAGAAAAAAATTTTATTTTGAGATAATTTCATGTGTTTTTTTCTCATTTTGACTCAACTGAATTTCAGTGCAAATTCTAATCTGAACAAATAAACACTTGAAATTTTTCCTGGATGAGGCTTATCATTAACTATCAAAATCATCTTTTCCATATACTATTAAAAATTCCATCATTTCCATTATGAAGAGTCAAAAGTTGTATTTGTGCGATTGTGAAAACTCAGGACCATCTTGAGCCAGAGACTAGTGTTAAGTCAATTTAATGGTCACTGATGCAGATGCACAAATTTACATTTCAGGAGATCAGGCAACATCTGTTTTGCAAACTCCGTTAACCAACAAATCCATTTTGAAATATATCTGTGAATGTTTAAAACCCTCTCATATTTTATATATTTATCTTTATTAAATGCTAAAAGACTTCTTAAAAGAGGTCCATAATCTATTGAGTTTAACATTACATGGATAAAAACACAGCCTGAACATGGAGTCACTTTTTCTTGCTATGGTATTATTGAAAGTCAGTTTCTTTTAAGTAAGGAGTCAAGAAACTTTCCTGTATTAAAAGATCTAATAATTTTATAAGATTCAGAGATGTCTTACTTCCTACAAATACATCTTCCTTAATCAGTGATTTCAGACATATAAAGAACTCCTGGAAATTCACCTCACCTCAGGCATATCCCAAATCATTTATAATCAATAATAGTTGATGACATTATAGGCAATTGAAAACAAAACAGACCAAGATTAACTCATGAGTTTTAAAGTAGAAAATGTGAATTAAGATTAGAATAATAAAATCAGAGCAAGACAAACAATTGCCATAGACTCGTATTATCTCAGAAAGAGGTATAGTAAATAATAATAATAATAATAATAATAATAATAATAAAGAAGTATCTCTATCACCATGTCTTCAGCTTTCTATTCCATGCTTCTCTATGTCAAACATTTTTTAAATGCAAACTTAATTATATTCTGTTTAAAATTTGCTTCAGTATATATTTTTTACTTCTGCTGCTGTTATTATTTCTGCTAATTCAATTTAAGCTCATGTAAACACATAAAAGTAAAAGCAAAAGGAAATTTCCCCCTCACAATTGTCATCATTGGTCAAATACCCTAGAGATCATCACTTTTAAGAGTTTCCACAAATCCTTCTAAATATATCATACACACACACACACACTTATATGATATAAGAATAGATTACATAGGTATGTGTATGTATATATGGATATGAGATTACAGGACAGATTAGATTCCTAAATCAGATGACCACAGTCATAGATTTTACCCAGTAAAAATATTTTTAAGTAATTTTAAGAATACAAAAATAGAGCTTGGATATTGATCATCCTAAAAGTTCCATGCAATAAAATCTTAGTAAACAGGTGGGAACTACTGGGATGTAGTAGAACCTTTTGGAGATGGGACTTAGTTGGAAGAAATTAACTCATTGGGGATGTGCTCTTGAAGCAAATATTGATACTCTGGCCCCCTTCTTTTTCAATCTTTGCTTCCCCACCACCATAAGAAACTTTGGTCTTCCATGTGCTCTCTTGGTGATACCCTGCCTCACCATAGGCTCACAAGCAACAGGCCAACTGAACATTATTGGAAACCTCTGAAATTATGAGCCAAAATAAACCATTCCTCTTTTAAAAGTGATTAACTTAGTATTTTGTTACAGTAAAAAGAAAGCTGAAGCAGTCTACAAAAATATGCTTTGTTTGCATACAGTAGTTTTGGTTTGTTTGTTTTTAATTCAACAAGAGTTATGGCAATAAGAATCTCTAAAATAGTCATAGCCAGGGCAGTCAGAGAGATGATGATCACATAGCCAAACTAAGTAACTACAATATTTGAAGGCCCAGAAAGCAAAGATTTATTTCTAACTAACTTTTTTGACACTTACAACTAATCACCTGTAGTTACAATACATTAGAAGTCTGAACTTTGGATGAAAGAATAGGTATGTAACCATCAAAAAACTACCAGAAGAAGCAATTGTATTGGAACAAAGGGAAAAAAATGCTTAGGTGGCAGGACACCCTAGTAAAAATTGGCAAAAACTTTGTGTTAAGTAGTCGAGAGTGGTAATATTAACTTAACAACTAGATAAGCACCAGGTCTCCCACAAATATTATTCTTAATGTTCTATAGGGGAAAGTGCTTTGAGATATTTTCTGTTTTCAGAAATGCTAAAATGGAGCTAAAAATACATTATTAAATATTTAAGCTTAAAAATTTAAAAAATGACTCTTTCAATTTGTCTAGTAAATATTTCTTCTCAGTCAGATTGAATGTGAAATATTAGTTTTAAATTTTCAGAGAATGTTTTTTTGTGACAGGTGAACATTCAATCATTTTAGATTACCTCTAACTCTTCTGCTTTTAAAATGAATAATACATACAGGAAAATTATACAAATTTATCCATGCTCTCCATGCAAAGAGAAAATTTCACCAAGCAATATTAAGTGACATGCATGTAGTGGCTATGTATATATAAGCAAAATTTTTATACAGAAGTTATTGACAACAAAATTAATGTTAATAGCCACATAATTTACTTTTTATTTTTATTAATTAAGTAATTAATTAATTAATTATTATTTTTTTGTACAAGGGATTGAACCCAGGGGCACTTAACCACTGAACCACACCTGCCTCCCCCCACATTTTTTTCCTTTTATTTTTATTGCTGAGGCTGACTTTCAACTCACCTCCTGTCTCAGCCCTGAGGTGCTGGAATTACATGTGTGTACTACCACACCTGGCATAATTTACTTTTTAACAGTGATTTTCCACAGGTCTTAAAAATTTAAGCACTAAATAAAATAGTATAAATGTTTGGAAGTAAGTTTTTCACATTTGAGTCTTAACATCTAAAAATTTTTTTCTAAATGTATCAGATATCCAGCCATTAATTCATATGCTGTTCCACTTTAAATAGTTCTGCTTTCTGAAAATACATATTGAAAAAATTTTAAAAAAGGATCAATCTATGGTAATGAATTTATTTCAAAATGTTTTATTTATTTAAAAAAAAGATTTTCATTTGCACTGCTGCATTCAGCAGATGGTGGGGAACACAGGGAGTGGGACAAGAGGTTAAATGGCAGAGACAGATCAGCCTTCTTACACAGAAGATAACTGAAAAGGTGGTCAACAGCTGGGGACAGGGCAGTTTGAGAATCACTACTCAGGGAGATGAAAGATTTTGTGCATCAAAGCCTTATATCCCATGTGCTGCTAAGAATTGATTTTAATTCCATGTTTTGGCTTAAGTTTTAAGACTTAAGTGTGAGTTTTTAAGAGGTGAAAACTCTGCTTTGGTTTTTTTCCCTACTTTTTTTTTTCTCTCATTCAATTTATGTTATTGCCTTTATCTTAAAAAATAATAAGATCCAGGCTCAGTGGTGCAGACCTGTAAGCCCAGTGACTCCAGAGATCAAGGCAAAAGGACTGCAAGTTTCAGGCTAGTCTGAGCAATTTAGTGAGATCTTGTCCCCCCCACCACCAAAAAAAAAATTAAAAAGGGCCAGGAATGTAGTGCAGTGGTAGAGACCTGTGGGTTGAATCACCAGTATGAAAATCATGATGATAATGATAATAATAACAACAATAAAACACTATAAAAGTGGTTGAGTTGAATCATATGATCCCAGAATTATGTAGGGGAGGTGTTCATTCTGACTGACTCCACATGACTCCTGCAAAGGAACAAACAAAAAGACTCATGGCAGATCCCCAAGGAAAAAAGTGCTACTGAAACTTACTTTTAAGTGTAGAAATTTTCAGGAGTCTAAATGTGGTGGGTAAAAATGTAGGCAGAAGAGAAGTAGCTGTGAAATACAAAATTAAAAAAAAATAAAAACATTGGTTTATCACATTTAAATGATTCACTATTTTAGACCCTCAGAAATGTTCCAGCACATCATAGAGTGATAACAATGAGTGTCACTGGCATATCTTTGCTCCTTCATAACAATCATACCACCGAATCATGATTATTTTGTTATAAAATAAAGCAATATTTGGAAAAGGGAGTTTGCAACAAAGAAAATGTACTTGAGGATATG